TATTCTTGTGATAAGTTGCTGCAATCTATTTGCTAGTATTTTGTTTAAAATTTTTGCATCTATATTCATTAGAGAAATTGGTCTATAATTTTCTTTCTCTATTTTGACTCTTCCTGGTTTAGGTATCAACACCATATTTGTATCATAAAAAGAATTTGGTAAGACTCCTTCTTCACCTATTTTCCCAAATAGTCTATATAGTATTGGAATTAATTGTTCTTTAAATGTTTGATAGAATTTGCATGTAAATCCATCTGGCCCTGGAGATTTTTTCCTAGGGAGTTCATCAATGGCTTGTTCAATTTCTTTTTCTGAGATGGGGTTATTTAAGTATTTTACTTCCTCTTCGGTTAATCTGGGCAATTTATATTTTGTAAATATGTATCCATTTCACTAAGATTGTCAAATTTGTTGGCATATAGTTGGGCAAAATAATTCCTAATTATTGTTTTAATTTCCTCTTCCTTGGTGGTAGCTTCACCCTTTTCATTCTTGATACTAGTAATTTGGTTTTCTTCTTTCTTTTTTTTAATTAAATTAACCAAAGGCTTATCTATTTTATTGGTTTTTTCATAAAACCAGCTCTTAGTTTTATTTATTAGTTCAATAGTTTTCTTAATTTCAATTTTTTAATTTTTCCTTTGGTTTTCAATATTTCTAATTTGGTGTTTAGTTGAGGATTTTTAATTTGTTCTTTTTCTAGTTTTTTTAGTTGTATGCCCAATTCATTAATCTCCTCTTTTTCTATTTTATTTATGTAAGCATTTAGAGATATAAAACTTCCCCTAAGAACTGCTTTTGCTGCATCCCATAGGTTTTGGTATGTTGTCTCATTATTGTCATTCTCTTGAATGAAATTATTGATTGTTTCTATGATTTGTTGTTTGACCCAATCATTTTTTAGGATTAGATTATTTAGTTTCCAATTATTTTTTAGTCTATCTTTCCATGGCCCTTTATTACATATAATTTTTATTGCATCATGATCTGAAAAGGATGCATTTAATATTTCTGCCTTTCTGCATTGGATTGTGAGGTTTTTATGCCCTAGTACATGGTCAATTTTTGTGTATGTGCCATGTACTGCGAGAAAAAAGTATATTCCTTTCTATCCCCATTCAGTTTTCTCCAGAGGTCTATCATACCTAACTTTTCTAATGTTCTATTCACCTCCTTAACTTCTTTCTTGTTTATTTTGTGGTTAGACTTATCTAGTGCCGAGAGGGGGAGGTTCAGGTCCCCCACTAGTATAGTTTTGCTGTCTATTTCTTCCTGTAACTCCCTGAACTTCTCCTGTAAGAATTTGGATGCTATACCATTTGGTGCATATATATTTAGTAATGATATTACTTCATTGTCTATGGTGCCTTTTAGCAGGATGTAGTTTCCTTCCTTATCTCTTTTGATTAGATCTATTTTTGCTTTTGCTTTGTCTGAGATCAGGATTGCTACCCCTGCTTTTTTTACTTCAGCTGACGCATAATATATTCTGCTCCAGCCTTTTACCTTTACCCTGTATGTGTCACTCTTTTTCAAATGTGTTTCCTGTAAACAACATATTGTAGGATTATGGTTTTTAATCCATTCTGCAATCCGTTTCCGTTTTATGGGAGAGTTCATCCCATTCACATTCACAGTTATGATTACTATCTGTGTCTTTTTCTCCATCCTTTTCCCCCCTTTTTATGCTTTTCTTTCTCCTTTTTCCTTTCTCCCCTTCACTAGTGTTTTGCTTTTGACCACCGCCTCCTTCAGTCCCTTCCCCCTTTTATTATCCCTTTCCCTTTCTTCCCCTTTAGTCTTACTGCTGCTTCCCTCCCTTCTTTCCCCCCTCCCTTTTCTTTCCCCCTCCCTTTTCTTTCCCCTTTTCCCTCCTACTGCCTATAGGGCAAGTTAGATTTCTATACCTAACTGATTATATTATGCCCTTCTTGAGCCAAATCTGATGAGAGTAAGGTTCAAACAATGCTCCCCCCCTTCTTTCCCTCTGCTGTAATAGGATTTTGTGTCTTTTCCTGTAATGTAATTTACCCTTGTCTGCCTCCTCCTTTCTCAGTACATTTTCTAAGATCAGATTGATCCACTTATTTGGATCCATTTAACCCACTTGATTAGATTTTTTTTTACATTACATCAAAGTCAACTAATATCCACCCTCTTTATGTATACTCCTTTAACAAGGTGTAATAACAATACAGTTCTCAAGGGTTGCAAGTCTCATATTCCCTTGTAGGGGTTTAAACAGCCCCCCCCTTATTAACAACATATTGTATCCTTCTGTCCCATTTACCTTTTTAAGTCCTTCTTGAGTCCTGTACTTGAAGATCAAATTTTTTGTTGAGCTCTGGTCTTTTTATCAGGAAAGTTTGGAAGTCTCCTATTTCGTGAATATCCACCTCCTCCCTTGAAAAATGATGCTCATTTTTGCTGGGTAATTGATCCTTGGCTGCATTCCAAGCTCCTTTGCCTTATGGAATATCATGTTCCATGCCCTGCGGTCTTTTAATGTAGAAGCTGCAAGGTCCTGTGTAATCCTGACTGTGGTTCCATGATATTTAAATTCTTTCTTTCTGGCTGCTTGCAGCACCTTCTCTTTCATCTGGTAATTTTGGAATTTTGCTATTATATTCCTTGGTGTTGTCAATTTGGGATCTCTTTCAGGTGGTGATGGTGGGATTCTTTCTGTGGTTATTTTCCCTTCTGTTTCTAGGACTTCCGGGCAGTTTTCCTTTATGATTTCCTGAAAGATACTGTCCAGGCTCTTTTTTTCATCATGATTTTCAGGTAGTCCAATAATTTTTAAATTGTCTCTCCTGAGTCGATTTTCCAGGTCGGTTGTTTTCCCGATGAGGTATTTTACATTTTCATCTATTTTTATTTTTTGTTTCTGTTTGACTGATTCTTGCTCTCTCATAGAGACATTAGTTTCCATTTGTCCAATTCTAGTTTTTAACAGATTGTTTTCTTCTGTTAGTTTTTGTACTTCCTTCTTCAACTGGCCAATTGTGTTTTTTAGGGACTTGTTTCTTCAGTGTACTCTTCTGTTAGTTTTTGCCCTTCCTTCTTCAATTGGCCAATTGTGTTTTTTAGGGACTTGTTTTCTTCAGTGTATTTTTTTTCCAATTGGCCAATTGTATTTTTGAAGGACTCTTCTACCTCTCTCATTTGACTTTTAAAATCCTTCTTGAGCTCTTCTAAGAAGGCTTTTTGGGCTTCAGACCAGTTCATATTCCCTTTTGTTGTTGCAGATGTGGGTTTGTTGACAATGTTGTCCTCTTCAGAATTTCTGTCTTGATCTTCACTCTTCTCATAATATGAATCTATGGTACGTTTCTTTTTACTCATGGTGTTTCTTTATTCCCTGGCCTTTAAAGAGATTGAGCTCTCCTGCTGTGGAACAGAGGGTACTGACCCAAGCTTCTTGTGTTGGGAGCCTAGGTCTTGGTCACTGGCTTTGCCTGCTGGGGCCTCTTATGCTGGGTTGGAGGCTGTAGGTTTCTGGCAGCTTACCTTGTGTTGGGCTGGAATCAGCAAGGCTGGAACTTTCAGGCAATTCTAGGTTGCCTGCTTTTCCTTTCCTTTAGCTTTCTTCAGCTCCTTTTAGATGGGTGCTGCAGGGTGTTTATCTGCCTGGGGCCCCTGCAGTGTTGTCTCCCTAGTTTCTGCTAATGCAGCGGGAGATTCCTTTAAGGTGGAGTGCCAGACTCCTGGTGGTTTTCTGAGCTGGTTTCCACCGGTTCCCCCGCCCTCACTGAGGCACTCAGAGGTCCAGGTGTTGGTGTTTGCCTGCTCTACCACCTGGGCTTTAGGATTTCTTCACAATTGGAGGCTTCAGGGCTCCTAGAGCTTACCTGGTGTTGGGTTGGAATCAGCAAGGCTGGGACTTTAGGAAGACTCTAGGTTGCCTTCTTCACGTCATTTCTGATGAATGCTGCAAGGTGCTTATCGGCCTGAGGCCCTTTGTAGTGCTGCTTCCGTTATTTGTGCTGAGGCACTGGGAGACCCGTTTGCTGGGCTGCTGCACTGCTGTTCCCCTTTCTTCTAGTTCAGCTGCTCCAGGGTTTTTTTTTTCTCGGTGATAATTTCTGGTTTTTCAGATGTTGATAGGGGAGGGTGAGAGTGACTACCTTTTTACTCCACCATCTTGGCTCCCAGCCTATTTGTAACACATCCGTTTTTGTAGTGTGTATATGTCCTATGTGTCCCTCAAAGAAATATAAGCCCCTTGAAGTCAGGGACTGCTTTATCTTTGTATTCCTAGTGCCTGGGACAGAGTGGGCACTTGTGATAAATACTGATTGATTAATTGATTTACAATGAAGGTGTTAGATCCTCTCTGGTCCCTTCCAGCTCTAAATCCAGTGGTCCTTTGAGACTTCATAAAGAATCTGAGATTCTAAGCCCAGTCTAAATTAGGGTGATGAAGGGGGTAGGGTTGGGACAGGCAGCCATCTCGAGTGATAGAGGGGGTATTTCAAATATAAAGCATGTATTTAAAAAAGAAGCTATGGTTTAGGAGATGAGGAGAAGGTGTTTGTGGGGTCCTCACGTGAGATGCTGTGATTTAGTAGTTATTGTCTAATAGGGCTGATGGCAGAACTGCCATAGCCTAGCCCTGTACTTAGTAGGCATTTAATAAATGCGTGATGATTGCTTTTTCAGCTAATTTGAAAACCATTTCCATTTATGACTTCCATGCCTGAAGACAAGGCTCAGTCTTAATAGGAGCCGTCTTTGATAAGAAGCCTTTTTCCATTTTCTTGATCAATGTAAAACTTTCAGTTCCAAGGTTTTTCCCCTCCAATAAAATGTCAGTAAATAAAAACACTATCTCACAATAGAGAAATAATTTAAAGTTATTTGGAAATGCATTGTCTATATAAAGAAAAGCTACAGGCCAAGCATATGTTGCCATACGTAGTCATTGCTTTTATTCAAGAGAGATTAAACAAATATGTTGCGCTGTGAATATACTAACAATGTGTTTTGGGATTGCATAGGTCCAAAGGACTATAGCTAGGCAGGTTGAGATGGTCCAACAGATTGGAAAAGGTCGCTATGGGGAAGTTTGGATGGCAAAGTGGCGTGGTGAAAAGGTAGCTGTGAAACTGTTCTCCTCCACTGAGGAAGCCAGCTGGTCCAGAGAGAAAGAAATATATCTGACGGTCTTGGTGAGGCATGAAAATATTTTGGGTGAGTAAAAATCAGTATAAAAATGTTCTGCATTTGTTTTCTAGCTCTAAGCCTTTTCTTCGTAGTGTTTGTGTATCAACTTAAATGAACTAACTAGAAACGTTGTCCTTATCTTCTTGGCCTTGGCCCGGCCACTAGCCCTGCAGTGCAAGGGGGCCTCAGAATACATGGCCAGAGTATTTCCAGAGACGAGGCTGAGAGGATGGGGGTCTTTTAAGAGAAATAACTGCTTGGGAGACTGGAAATTAGAACTCATCACTAGTGCTTAAGTTATCTAGGAATCATCTCATGTTCAGATTGTTCTAAGAGAAGAGAATTTTTTCAGAGTTAGGCAAGATTATACAAAATGTCTTTTTCTTTATTTTGGGGATCTGTGATCTCATCAGGTTTTAACCCATTCATGCCTTACCTTCTTATCACAGTGCACATCTATCCACAGAAGGTGTCCTAGAAGTATAAAGAGCTTCCTTTTCATATTTCAGGGGTCCTATTGTAGCACTTGAGATATATCTGTTACCCTTTGCCCTCAGTATATGACCAAGTCACTTCCTTTCCCTGTGAAGTAAATATCTTTGTGTTTTACATACCACTTCTCTGGCACACACGAAAGTTGGCATTTCCCAGTGTGTCCTATGCGGTTTTGATTGTTGCATTTGTGGTATTTTGTGATTCACATCCATATGACAGCACGAGGAGAATATTGGTGTTAAAAAGGTAAGTTCTGAAGAAGGGAGTAACATAGAACCAGTGAAATTGCAGGGCCGTTTACCAAATGAAATCCAGCTAGCTGTCTTCATATTGAATACTGGGCCCAGCTACAGAGTGCACTGCCAGTTCCTCCTGTCTGTAATGACTAGGTTAACAGCTCAGGAATTCTATCGGTACAGTTTATTTCTGTCAAGAATTCATTTTCTTCTTATCATCTTGGGTTAAAATGATCTGGCTCAAATTTTTCACGGAAAAAGTGTGTCTAAATGGATTAGTTTGGTTAGATGGATTAATTCTTCCTAGTCCTTATTTAGTGACTTTTTCTTCTGTTCACAGTGTCACCAAATTTCTGAGTTGAAAAGAACATATCCCTGAAAAAAGAACCCTATCAGTCTACTAAACTTTCTTTGTTTTGTTTTTACTAGGCAATGGGTTAAATGACTTGCCCAGGGTCACACAGCTTATAAGTAAGTGTCCAGTGTCTGGTGTGAGGCCGGATTTGAGCTCAGGTCCTCCTGACTTCAGGGCTGGCGCTCTATCCACTGCACCACCTAGCTGCTCCTACTAAGCCTTTCTTAAAGGAACTCCAGTAAGGAGGAGTCTCATTCCGTTTTGGGGAAACTAATTCTTAGGAAGTTTCTCTTCCAAGTGAAATTTATATCTTAGTAACTTCTACCCATTGCTCCTAGTTCTGTGTTTTGTGGCCAAGAAGAACAAGTTTAATCTCTCTTTCACATGAATGTCCTTTTAAGACGTAAAAACAGATATCCTGCCCACCCTACCCCAAAATTCCCTCCCAAGTCCTCAATGGGCGAATATCCCTGGTTTCAAATTACATATTTAATGATCGCCAAAGCCATTCAGCATCCCAGTTGGACCACTCTGACTGGGCTCCAGTATTTTTACTGAATTTCAAAAATGATGCCCGTTTTGAACACATCACTTCCATTGTGGTATAACCAGGGTGCAGTACAATGTGACTATACCAAATGCCGCGTCTCTTACAGTAGTCTAAGATCAAATTATTTCTTTGCTGTCATGCCACACTGCCAATTGTAACTGAGCGTGCGATCCACTAAGAGCCCTACGTGATTTTCCACTTTGTTGTTGTTGAGCCATGAACTAAAGATAATGTCTGACAAAGATGATTAAAGTTCATAATATTAGATTTGATTCAGTCTTCCAATCTGTCAAAATACTTGTGAATCCTGACTCCGTCAACCAGCGTTATCTGTGTGGACCAGCATTGTGTGTTCTGCTACTGTGCTAAGAATGTCATCTACACTTTTTATCTCTTGTCACTGATAAAGCTGTTAAATAGAAGAGAACCAAGAGTAGGTGCTTGAGGCACTCTACTGAAAACCTTACAAGGTGACAATAAACCACTATACATTATAACCATTATAACTAAGTAGTCTGTGGATCCAGTCATGCAGCCAATTTCTTAATCTTGCTAATTATACTATCATTTAGCAACCATCCCTCCATGTTTTCCACAAGAATAATAGTTGCTCAAATGGAACCAAATTATATCTATAGCTTACCCTTATCTTATAAGATTAGATTGGTATGACCTGTTCTTGATGAAACCCTGTTGGCTTTTCTGCATGAATTATAGCAATTATGGTAACCTAAACAAATTGACACACCCTAGAAAGAATTTGCCAATTAATTGCGCGTGGCATATTTTATTGATTCTTTTCCTTATTTTAATTGGTTTTGTTTGATATTAATAACTTAATAGCTTTATAGATGTGAAAGAAAAGTAACCCATGACTCCTGCTGATCTCAAACAATATGCATTGTGTTGTTGGAAGTATTGGGAAAGTACTCTTCTCCAAACTTTTTGTTCCTTTTTTCTTTTTGCTTCCTTTTTAGGATTTATTGCTGGAGACATCAAAGGCACAGGGTCCTTGACCCAACTCTGCCTAATCACAGACTACCATGAGAATGGGTCCTTATATGATTATCTGCAGTCTACTACCCTAGATACCAAAGCAATGTTAAAGTTGGCCTACTCTTCAGTCAGTGGCCTGTGCCACTTACATACAGAGATCTTAAGCACTGAAACAAAACCGGCAATTGCACATCGTGATCTGAAAAGTAAGAACATCCTGGTGAAGGAAAATGGAGCATGCTGTATCGCTGATCTGGGATTGGCCGTTAAGTTTGTCAGGTTCGTATCCAAGCAACCGGGCGAGGGTCTTCGAATGTTACCCTTGGAAGGTAGGGACCTTGGAGAGAGATAGTGTGCCCCAGCCCTTTACATAGGGCTACTCAGAGGAGTGAGCGGTGGAGTCTTTCGATGTCTGTTGAACCCTCTGGTTCTAGGAACGCAGGACAGTTTTACTTGATAATTTCTTGAAAGTTGAAGTCTACACTCTTTTTTGATCATAGCTTTCAAGTCCAGTACTTCTTGAGGTATCTCTGCTTGATCTATTTTCCAAGTCTGTTGTTTTTCCAATGAGATATTTCTAATTTTCTTCTATTTTCTTTTGATTTCATTTCATTGTTTCTTGATGTCTCATGGAGTCATTAGCTTCCACTCACCAAATTCTGATATTTTAGAAATTATTTTCTTCAGTGAGATTTTTATACTTCCTTTTCCATTTGGCAAATTCTACTTTTTTAAGGAGTTGTTTTCTTCAGTAAATCTTTGTACGTCTTTTTCCATTTCCTGTGCTTCCTTCACCAAGCTTTTGGCTCTTTTTTCTTGATTATCTTGCTTAACTCTTAATTTGTTTCCCCCAGTTTTTTTTTCTGCTTCTCTATTTTGCTTTTTAAAATCCCTTTTGAGCTTTTCTAGGAGTTCTTTTTGGGCCTGAGATCAATTTATATTTCTCTTTGAAGCTTCTCGTGGGCCTTTTGACATTGTTGTCCTCTTCTGAGTTTGTGGTTTCATCTTCCCTGTTGCCATAATAGCTTTCTGTGGTCTGGGGTTTTTTGTTGTTGTTGATGATGACACTTTTTTCATTTATGGCCTAGTTTGTGACTTTCAAAGTTGAGTTCTGGTTTCAGGGTACAGAGGGCACTGTCCCAAGCTTCTTGCTCTGGGTCCCCCGGGCCAGGCTGGTCACCTGCTGCACCACAGCTGCCTACCGTGTAGCTGGCCTTCTGTTCTGGGGCCACAGGGCCTTGGCTGCTGACCCTGGCTGGGGTGAGAGATCTCCCGGAGGCTGGCTCACCCAGAGATTGCCTGCACTGGCCTGTGTTCTGTCTTTACTTGAGGGAGACATATGTTTCCTGCAGTCCTTCTGGGTTGTCTTGGGCTAGAACATCATTTCACCTTGTCCTTGTGTGGGTTCTGCCCCTCTAGAATCCATTTTGAGGCTCTGTTTAGAGCTGTTTGGAGGGATTATGGAAGATCACAGGCAAGGTACAGCCTTTCCTCGGCCATTTTGGCTCTGCCTTGCCCAGTTGTTGTTGTTTTTTTAAGAGGCAGGTCCCTCCATTGAGAGAAAACAAATTGCTTGCTGTTAGAGAACGTAAATAAGTAGGGCTGCCTGCCCTTGCCACCATCTTCTTTATGAGTCTTTTTAACTGGTTAAGTTGGCTGTTGAGTCCCCTGTGCGTGCACTTCAGTGCCTCTGGACGAGTCTTCCTTTTCCTTTTCTCAGAATTGTCTTCAGGATTTCGTTTCTGAGAGCTCTCCATTCTGCTTGCACTGACTTATCTGTATAATGGTCTATGAGTTCCAACCCATCTTTCTTTGAACTCTTTGAAATATTTTTTGACAAAATCTCTGATGCATTTCCCATTATGCCCGCTTTTATCCCAAGCTCTAAGAGGAATGGTCGCTTCCCTCCAACATTCCTGGCATTTCCACTAAACAATCAGTTCTCTCGGATGAGGAGACTCATGTCCTGGGTAGAACTTAAGGATCTGCCATCTTTTGAAAGATGAAATGATCATTAAAGCAGTTTTTTCCTCGAGTTTCACAGCTGGGAAGCAGCAGAGTTCCTGGGATTCAGAGCCCACTACTGAAGAGACGGAGGGTGGTAGAGGAGAGGCAGGTTTGCTGATATCTCTAATTAATTATCAGTCCAATGAATAATTAACTGCATCTGCCCAGCCTCTGTCAGTGTTTGAATACTAATCACATTTCTTCCTTCCTGGTATGTATTGACTTTCCAGTGCCCCGTCCCATAGCCAGAAGAGGACCAGAGTTCTGTGACCCATCTGTATTTGAACAAGCTCTTTTACTTGACTCTCCTCCATTTGTAATTTAGTTTCTGTAAAGATAAAGACATATTCCTTAATTTCTGAAAGTTTTCTGTTTTCTTAAAGTGATGAATATTCCAAAAACTGATGGTATATCATTTGAAATAACATTGTACATTGGGGATTTAGGAAAGTTGAAACTTTTGGTGGAAAATAGATTTTGAAGATGGTTTAGGAATAAAGCTATTAGATTTTAAAATTATGAATAGATGTCAACAGTTCAGACTTAAATAGACATTTTTGGTAGACATAGAAATTCAGAGTTAAAACGTGTTGCCTTTAAAAACTGCAAACAGATTCATGTTTGTATTTTCGAAAGCTCAGAGACCAAATGAATGAGCTCAAGTCAGTAGTACACATTTTCAAAAAATCTGTATGTTTATGATTTAGCCCTGTCTGGTTTTTGTCACCTCCACTCTCCAGTCCACGGTTCCCAAAGCCACCAAATGAGTATGCCTTTGCAGAGATGTCCTTTCACTCCTCAGTTTAAAATCCTCCAGGGGCTTCCTCATGCCTACTGAGTGAAGTTGGAACGTTTGGGTGTGGTATTGGACTCTCCAGCTTTCCAGGCACATGTCATGCTTTCCCCACTTCAGTCAGGAGGAGTGTCCACCCTCCCTTGCTCTCTTCTTTCCTCCCTCTGGTCTTTGCTCCAACCATTACTCCTGGAAGGTGGGTCCCCCTTTGTCAGCTCTCCCTTCTGTGAGTTCCAGCCCGTCCTGTAAAGAAAGTGACTCCATGAAAAGCCTTCCCAGGTCCTAGGGAAGGCTGGCGAAGCACTTTTCATCTTTTTCGTGCACTTACGTAGTATCACTTTTAAATTGCCTACGTTCATTTATGAGCCGTCATTGATCGGTAGGGGTGATCCTGAACCCACGTCTATGGAGTTTGAGCTTTGGCAGCTCTAAGGACCTTAGAAGGCCAAGTTGAACCAGCTTCCAGTGCAAGGTACTCAGTGATGGACTCAGTCAGTTATTTGAGGACCAGCCTCGTGAAGTTTGGAAAGGATCAAAAGAGGCTTGACCAGTAGGTGACGGATTTGGACGCCAAGCACCTACTAAACCAGCTAAAGGGAGGGAAGGTTGTGGCCTGTGTCAGTGGAGGGAGAATTTACACTGACATGATCATGACTCTTGGAAGTGAGCATGTGTTGCTCACCTTTGTAAGATAATCATCTCCGTGCTGGGCCATCTCCTGTTGTCCTGATCTATGTCTGGCTGCTTGGGCCCAGATGGCTCTGGAGGAGAAAGTGAGGCTGGTGACTTGGCACAGCCCTGCCTCACTTCAATCCCATCCACTTGTAAGTCATGGCATCACCTCCCTGATGTCATGGTCCTCTTGGAGAAGGAAGGACAAACCACCATCACAACAATGAACTCTTTAAGAGCGTGACCACCTTGTATCAACTCCATCCCTAAGCGCAGTGATCTTCAGTCGGAATTATTGTTACAAATACTTGTTTATCGAATGTGAATTATTCAGAGATTTCTTCCTTAAGGTTTTCCAAATGATTTGCTTACAGACATCAGGTAAGACACTCGTTTGTCCCATTTTACAAAGGAGGAAACTTGGGTACAGGAGCCCCCAGCCTGTGACCACCCAACTAGTGTTGCCTAACGAGATTCACACCCAAGCGTCCGGCCTCAGGTGCAGCTCTCCTTCCTAGCGGATCAAGGTCAGATGGAATTGAAGTGGAGTCCTCCACTGTGACAGATTTGGTACTGGGCGGTTGGTTGGTCTTCTAGGAGGGAGCTAGGATCAGTCAGGTAGACTTTCCTTCTTCATGCTGTGTGACCTTGGGCAAGTGGTTGTATTTCCCAGTCCTCCCAGGCAGCCAGTACTCAATTGTAGACTTATTTCTGAGCTGTGATCGTAGACGGTTTCGCCCCTAGCATTTCCCACACTGATAAAAGCAGAGGTCCAAGATTAAAAGAACAGTAATAAACCAATGTAATGTGTTTATCTATCTGTGAGGGATACTTAGAACTCTTAGGGAAAATATATAACACAGACTGAATTATGTTGTGGAAATTGAATGCAGTCAGGAAACCTAGATTCTAGGCTCAGTTCTGCCTAACCCAGAGATGGGGAACCTGCAGCCTCAAGGCCACATGTGGCCTTCTAGGTCCTCAAGTGAGGCCCTTTGGCTGAATCCAAGGCCACAGGTTTTGCCCACCTCTGGACTGAGTGTATGTTTGAAGAAGCCACTTATTTTTTCTTTCACCACTTGCTTTTTCTGTAAAAATGAAAGGATTGGACCAGATGAAAACCAGAGAACCTCCCGCCATAGAATTCTGGGGCTGGCATGAGGTGGGGGCCCTCTTCTTCTCAGTCCTGCTTTTGAGTATTTGGAAGAACTAGAAGATTGGGGGGGGGCTTCCTAAATCCTCTTTAATAGCAAAGCTGCTAGATCGCACATCTGAGAAGGGCTGTGTTTTAAAATGTTTAGTGAATATTTGATGGTAACCTCCTCCTCCGTTTAGTGCTAATGAAGTTCCCAACGGTGCCCGGTGCGTCTCCTTTTTCCCTGCTGGTCAGCACTTCCTCCAGCCTCAGCTAGATGAGCCTTTCCCAGCAGAGTCCTCGTTCCCACCCCACAGTTTCCTCTCCCTGTGGTTTCCGGCAGTCCTTGTGGCCTTGCTGCCACACTGATTTTGCTCGTTGATTTGCCCTTACACAAAGAGGGGAGGTCTTCCTGCCTCCAAATGTGGCCCACAGTCCCCTGCATCACACTGCTTCTTCTCCTTGGGCTGTTGCTAAACATGGCATGTGCATGAGAGAATCACAGAAGGGACCCAACAATTTTAATCTGCTCATTTTAGATATAAAAAACCTAAAGTCCAGAAATTGAAAGTGCCTCTCAAAGCCTGAAGTAGAAGCCAAGTCTCTGTGTCCAGTATTTTCTCCACTACAGTCTGAGCCTCAGTTTCTTCGTCTGTAAGACGGGTTTTCCCTCTGTGTTGACGTCAGTGCTGTGCTTTTCCCAAGCGTCACCAGTAAAATAGATGTCCCGGCCAACACTCGAGTGGGCACCAAGCGTTCATGGCGCCCGAGGTGCTGGATGAGACTTTGGATCACAACCACTTCTATTCCTACATCGCAGCAGATATGTACAGTTTTGGCCTCATTCTGTGGGAAATTGCCCGGAGATGTGTGTCAGGTGGTAAGTAACTCCAGTGTTGTTGGGAAGTTGCAGCCTGAGTTCCCACAAAAAGGAACCTTAGAGTTCCAAACTGAATTTTATCTCCACCTCCACTCCTTCCCCTGCTGGATTTAAGCTTCAGCTCTGAGCGCATTTAAGGGACTAGATATGTCCTACTGGGCCGGGGGGGGGGGTGGAGGGGCAATACCTGCAGCCCCAGGCCACATGTGGCCCTCTAGATCCTCGTGTGCCGCCCTTTGACTGAGTCCATTAATGAAGGGGACTTGTTCTGTGAAGTTTGGATTCTGTGAAGTGCTCCCCAAAACTTTGTCCTGGGCTCTCTTCCCTTTTCTCTCTCTGCTGTTCTACTTGG